ACCTGCCACTAAACAGTAATGACCTCACAACCTCCCACCTTAAACATCCTCATCAAACACCAATACCTACAGCACCATTAAAAGATGCAAGAGCAGAAGAGAGACAGCATCTCCTTACCGACAAAGCACTCTTCTATTCTCCCTTGAACCTCTCAAGGAGCTGATGAAATATGGAGGGTCGGAATCATCATTCCCACTTTACAGATGAGACCCAAAAAGACCAACCTGATTGAAGCTGCTGGGCAAATCAGAGACAGTACTATGGCCAGCACCCAGCCATCTGTCTCTAACACATGGTCTCTTCCCGTTAATAGGCTGCCTCAGAACAACTGTCAACTCTAATCCCTAGCTTTGCCTTTCCTACATGACAAAAAATTTCTACCCTTAAAAACAGGTCTATGCCATCTGATGGGGCAGGAATGTGTTGGGAAATGAAACAGAGAATAAAAGAGAATTAGGATTCTTTGTCATAGTAGTTCCAAGAATTTTTTTTAACCTGCTAATTTCATCACAGAGACTAGGAATTATTTCTCTGCCATCAATCACCTCCTTATGAAAATATATATACTCATTATGCCAAATTCCATCCTAACAGAATAATTTTCAGATCCCATCGAGTGTGTCATAATGGGAGAGTAATTGGGGAAGAGAGCCTGCTATAAAGACTGCTCATTCTAAAAGGTTCTATGTTTATGAAGAGAGCAGTCCAGCTTCCCAGAAACTGAATGAAAGGCCTGAGGACTACAAAATGAAGGAGGGAATTCCATGGAGAGGACCCTAGATAAGGTGTCCAAAAGGCAGGGCAAGTTCTTGTTCCTGATAAGCCAGTTGGACATTTCTCACGCCTGCTTTATTTTTGTCTTCCTGCTGTTTCCCTTCAGACTCATTTTTTGGATCACGAACTCTGGAGATACTCTAATGAACCCTATAAATCCTATTCCCCCAAAACTGTGCACCTACACAAAGCAGTCTCCAGTTTCAGGACATCTTAGGCCTCTTGAGGCTCCCCTTGGGGGCTGATGACCTGCAGTAATGTTAGAACCCCTACTTTAGGGTCATAGTTCATGCCTACTCCGGCACCAGCTAACAACAAATCCCTCATTAAGCACAATACAATCTCCACAATCTGTGAGGGAAAGGGCAAGAATGTTTTGTTGGGTTTTTGTCTCAAGAGTGATAAAATTGGCCCTAACCAGTTTGGCTCAGTGGATAGAGCGTCGGCCTGCGGACTCAAGGGTCCCAGGTTCGATTCCAGCCAAGGGCATGTACCTTGGTTGCAGACACATACCCAGTGGGGAGTGTGCAGGAGGCAGCTGATCTATGTTTCTCTCATCGATGTTTCTAACTCTCTATCCCTCTCCCTTCCTCTCTGTAAAAAAATCAATAAAATATATATTTTTTAAAAAGAGTGATAAAATCAGTGAAATGCAGAGGAAAGGGATTTCCCTAGATTCAGCCAAGTCAAGGCTGCATGACATGTGGGAGGGATGGTGTTAAAGATATGAGTACTGAAGGTCAAACTAGCTGACCTAACGGGTCCCTTCTAATCCAAGAGACTGAATGACAGAAACTCACCTTGGGGAAAGTCTACCCCAGAAAATGACTGCTCTAAGGCCAAAGACACCAACCCCTAGGAGAGGACCCAACTTGTTATACAACTGGTTTCAGCCACTCCACAAGGCAACTGTAACTAGGGCCTACCGCCCAAAGCGCTCAAACAGCAGCAGATACAGGGAGGGAGGCTGTCAGGAGAGACAGGCAGTACTGGGAGTTACAAAAAGGCCACACATATACCTCAGTCCTGCACGGTCTTCTGTGAATGTCCTTAAAATGTTCAACCTATAGACCTTCCTATCTTGTACTTTAAGAGCCTCAACTTTCAAAACCTGGAAGACATGCTTAAGTGGGAGTTTCTAACCGCTCCTCTTACCTGCCAGGATTTGGAGATAGAAATTTCACTTCCTCATCCTGAAGCCTCAAAAGTGAATACTGGACCCACTGGTGGGAAGGAGTGGTCAGTTTTAAGGTATTTTCTTCAGTGAAGCAGTGACACCAATAGAGTTCGGGGAAATGTGACTACTTGGTACTCAAGACCCAAGGAAAGCAAGCAGGAGGCAGCACAGGAACAGGGCACAGTGAGTCAGAACAGCACAGCAGAAACAGCAGGAACCCTCATGGATACAAGAAATGGACTAGACACTAAACAGAGCACAGTGTTTCCCCAAATGCCAGCACTTGCCTTCCTCTATAGATTTTGCCATTTGCCGGTATCATCTGTACTATAACTTAATAGTTCTCTTTTGCAAAAAACTTACTCTCATCCTAAGGAATAAAGGGCTAGTTATATTTTACTCTAATATACATTAGAGTAAGACATAAGTGTTAATGTAACCATGTTTTCCACATTCCATCTGAAACCACCTGGCACCAAAGAGGTCTAGGTGTCACACTGACACAGCTGGTAGCTAGGAGACCGGGTTGTGAAGTTTGGTCCGGACTCCAGCCTCATTTCTAGGCAGGCCCCTCTGGGCGCCACTGCTTTCCCATCTTAAAGGAGAACTATCAGTCCCGCAGCTGCCCTGCGTAGCTCTGAGAGTCAAGGTTGGCAGATTTCTATGTGGCTCAGGCAAAGGTAGCCACCAAGGTGACTTGTTAGCAGGGTCCTAGAAATTCCCCCGTTTCTGTGCTTTTGGGGTTAGCTACAGGTGGGAAAAGGGGTAATGCACTTGGAAGCAAAGGATGTTGGGTAGAAGACAGCCTAGTATAGAAGGAAGAACATGAGATGTGAACCCTAAAAATATGGCATCTCCATTTAGCAGCCAAGTTTAAGGTTTTTTTCATTTATAAAGTGAAGATAACCATGCCCTTTTTCCTTAAATTTATACATTTGCTCCTCAATTTTCTATCAACCAGAGCTTACAAAAATACACACACTGATATTCCTAGACTACTCTTGAAAGCCCCATCCAAACTGGCACACAAATAGTCTATGGATAACATTTAGCCCCTTCTCACTAGTTACTGGTTACATTTTTGGCAATTTTGCAAGTGGAGGCATATGTTAAAATGTATTGCATTACCCGCCTTTTTAGTGATACATTTTCTTTATGACACAAAGGACAAACACAAGCAAAAGTAACTAAAGTGGCAGTTCTGAAAGCCTGAGCTGGACTTAAAGCTGGTCAAATGTATGCTCGAATAGGAAAAGAATAAAAGTGAAAAATATGTAGGAGTCAAGGCTGTGTCTAAAAGCAAAGTATAGTTAGGGAGTTTATTATTTTTTAGGTTTCAGGGAACAGAATCTCCTTACAATGTATAAGTCTAGAGTCAAATTTACCACACTCAGCTTCCATATATTATTATGAATACATTATGTTCAAATTGATGTCTCAAATCATGAAAGACTAGCGGCAGCCTACAGAAAAATACAAGTAGATACATCTGGATAAGAGCACATATAAATCAGAAGGCCAAAAAACATAAGGTCTGTGCATTTTACTGTGTGTAAATGATATCTAAAACATACCTCAATTTCAATATAGCAAAAATAAATCAGAAAAGCAGGGGAAGTGAGAACAACAAATGCGGAGGACAGGCCCTAGTTATAAAGTTGACTCGAGCTTCCTGCCAGCCAAAGCTAAAAGGGTCTACTGACAGATTCTTGCTGCAGAGCCCTATGTGTGAAAACAGTTTCTTCTTAGGTGCCTTCAAAGAGGGACAGTATCCTTGAGGGCAGCGTAGCAGTGTGTACATTAGACCATCCCCCACTGTGTATCTCATTGTTAGCCTGACTGAATGTTTCAGCAGCAGGAGTGGGGTCGGCAGGCAATGTTGATCAAATGAGCAGCTTGGAGGCGCAAAGGAGATGAGAAAGAGCTCAGTGCATTGAGTCAACTGGGTGCATGTGAACTGGAGAGGCCTAGATACCGAGACCTAGGCAAGGGGTTTGGAACTGACTTCCTAGTGTGACTAATCCTAGCTAAACCAAAAGGGACTCTGGCATCAGCCCTATCCCAATCCAATTCATAAACAACTGGCTTAGTTAGAGGGAGTACTAACTGCACAGTAACAGCCAAGAGCATTCCTGGGCACATCCACTGAGCTCCATGTAGCAAAGGCCATTAACTAGACCATTTTCTCCATCTTCCAGTCACAGGATCCCTGAGTTTTAACGGGGCACATGACTACTCAAATAAGAGGCTCTATATCCTGCTGTCCCTTTCAACAAACTGTGGCCACAGTGGTTTGAGCACCTCCAGGCCATTCATATTCTCTATAAAAGAAACGGCTTTGTTCTCTCTTTCCCCAGTGAAATGCGGACATAGAGCTGATGAGTCTGCTTTGACCTTGCAGGCAAGGACAGTAAGCTAGTGGTGGCTGAACAACAAGATTAAAAAACCTAAGTTCCTGATGACCTTGTAGAGTGAAACCTGCCCTGGACCATCTGACTACCTCTGTTCTATTAAAAGAGAGATTAAACTTCTACTAGGCTCGCTTTGTTATACAGGACTCAGGCAATTCCCTAGAAAAGTCAACTCTCAATTCACTTCAGCAAACAGGTCAGAAAATGCCATCCATAAAATAAGCTGGCCTCCTACTCCTCTAGGAGGCGAAGCACATCTCTGAGCAGAGGAAGACGCCTTTATTGCAGCATAGCCCAAACACAAAATGCAGCCTGCCCACTGGCCCAGGCCAAATCCACAATCGTTGGAGATACAGACTACTTTCCCCACCAGGGCCAGGCAGGGACACCCCTGTCCTACCTTTGCCCCCACAGCAGGAAAGCTCCAAACTTCTCCACTCTTTATAATCACCGTTCTGGAGGACAGGCCAAGTCCAGTAAGGCAGGGAGTGAAACAGCTGTCAGGGGACTGTGTGTGAGGGTCAGGGGAGGGGGTCCGGAGCCCCAAAACAAAAGCCACAGCTGGGAACTGGAGAGGGAGAGAAGCCTCCATGTCCACCCCGGGTTTCTGGGGCCCAGAGCCCTGAGGGTGTAGCACCTGCGCCTCCTGTGGAGTCCCTTGGTGACGGAGCCCAACCATGCAGCTGCCAGTCACTAACGAATCCCAGCCACTGGCACCTGCTGCTGCTTGCGAATCTTGTTGAAGAGTTCCATGTACTGGACCATGGTATCTGCTGGGCCGTAGACTGTGTCGTGTCTGTTGCCAAACACTGCGGGAGCCCCCGGTGTGTGGCTGCCTAGAAAACTCTGTAGGAATTCGAGCAGCAGACTCCAGCAGTCACTAGCTACCACACACGGGCCATATTCCACCTGGGACCAAAGGAACAGAGAATGAGGGTGAGTGCAGGCAAGGATGAGGACTTCTGTTTCCCTTGCACCTTCTACCCTTGCGCCCATCTTCCACAACCCCAAGCCAAAGACACACACCTTCTAGCACAGTGTTGGTGCACAGGAAACACTCAACCCAAACACCAGGGATTTAACACACCACCATTCCCTTTAGGCATCTCTGACATTCTTGTCTTGGAGTTATCAACCCCGAGCCCTGCCCACAAGATCCAAGGGCAGATCTGGGCCCCTCTGGATTATCTCAGAACTACATAATCCCTACATACTGGGACACTGAAGGAGAGCTCAGGAAATTCTGAGAAAACAAAGAGAGAAGGCGTGTGTGTGTGTTAGGGGATCAATAGAGCGCAAAGTGGACACATATGCTCATACGTCTCTGCAAGACCAAACATTACTCCCAGGTAGATCCAGCCTGGGCTCCAACCCTAAGAAATAATTTCCTGATCAATGTAGCAGGGGCCACACGATACACATCTTCAGCTTTCTCGCTGGGGAAATCACTGGTAACCAGGACAAACAGCACGGAAACAGCTGGGGTATGTTTGTACTACAAAGCTGGAATGTGGAGATAAACACTGGGGTCCCGGTGGGTCTCGGCAAATGCAAGGTGTGTCTCAAGCTGAAAAGGGTGAGGAAATCTTGGCCCTCGAGTACCCTGGAATTTTAGAGCAGTAATCCACTAACGCCCTGTTCTCTGCCGGGGCCGCCTTTTAGGATGTGGCTATCCCCACGTCTCCACATTGAGTCCCTCCTTAAATGCTGGTCCTGTAGGAGGCTCACAATCCAAGTCAGCAGTGCTCTCACTGGCATGCAGTCCCAGAGCAATCCGTGGCATTTCTCATAGCCCAGCGGTCGGCAAACTCATTAGTCAGCAGAGCCAAATATCAACAGGACAACGATTGAAATTTCTTTTGAGAGCCAAATTTTTTAAACTTAAACTATATAGGTAGGTACACTGTTATTGACTTATTTAGGGTACTCCTAAGGCTTAGGAAGAGCCACACTCAAGGGGCCAAAGAGCTGCATGTGGCTCACGAGCCACAGTTTGCCGACCACGACCACTGTCATAGACTAACTGCAAAAACGGTTTGTGTTCCGGCCCTGCACTCTTACTAAATAAAACATTGGCAAAAAACAGGCCCCATAGCTTATGTATTCTTTTTTTAATCTCACACAGTGCTGGGCACATGGTAGATTGTGGATTACCACTGGTCCCAAAGCCAGCTCCTCATCACACTCCCTCTGTCATTTTCAGTCTAGCCCTCAAAGGAGAAACCATCACACGTAGCCCTTCCCACCACGAAAGTGGACAGCATGGCAAAAGGAAAGGCACATCTCTGCTACATCACTTTTGAGACCCATCTGCAAGCATCCTAAGCAGAGATGTGCGGACGCACCTCCCAGAAGTTAACTGCACTGAAAGCTGACCTGGTCTGCTCCAATCCTCTTGTGAAGGATGACTGGTCCCTCTGCAAAATTCACCCGCCTCTCTTGGTTTTCCCTTCCCTTCTCCAGCAAGCCAGCCTTTCTAGGCTTCCTGCCTGCTGGGAACCCAGCTTCCAATTCCCATCCTGGTCTAGCGTCTCGAATGATAAAGGACGGGGTGCAAGGTGCAGGCGCAGGGGTCAGGTGGGCATCAACACCGTCTGCACTCAGAGGGACGTGGGAGTCTGCAGAGCCCTCTGCTGAGCAGCTCCTTCAGCACCTCCCGCTCCTACTTCACCAAGGTCTTACCTCCACAGAGATGCCTCGGGCACTGGGCCCCATTGTGACCGTGCCCACCTTCACTAGGAAGTCACAGTACTGGTAACGGGTGCCCCGGGTCTCGATCTTGCTGGCCTTGGCACTCTGGAAGAAGCCCTTGAGCTTCACCATGAGCACATCAAAGTTGGTGTCGGCAATAAGGCAAGGGCCATTCTCAAAGAGGGCGAAGCAGCTCAAAGGGTATTCTGAATTGTGCATCACGTACATCAGCTTCCCAGTCTGACCTGCAGGGACAGAGATTCACTCAGCATCAAGGCCTCCATCAGCAAACCCCAGAACAGAGGCAAACGCAGGGAACAAGCCAGATGGCATTACCTAAGCATCTTGGGTGGGGCGGGGATCCCCTTACCAAAAGCCTTTTCTGAAGTACAGCATGTGGTAAAATCTACCCGCTCTACAGAAAAAGGTGAGGGGCACACAGGGAACTCACTAGCGTTAATAACAGTTGAATTTTTAAGTTGAGGGAGAGGGTCACAGATGGATGATGATGATTTACTCACAGAGATTTTACATATAGTCTTTTATATAATCACTAGAGGCCCGGTGCACAAATTCATGCACGGGTGGGGTCCAGTCTGCCCACCCCAATGGGCCCAGTGAGCTGGGGGGGGGGGCGGGGAGGAGGAGACACGGGACATTGGCCGGTCGACCCCACCCCCCATCAGGGTGGGGGAAACAATCAGAGGCAGGGCCGGCAGGGGGAGGGGCCACAGGTGGTTGGTGGGCTGGCCCCGCCCCCTGGTCAAACTCCCAGTGGAGGGGACAATTTGCATATTAGCCTTTTATTATATAGGTCACATAATAAGGAAGATGAAATAATAGCATTTCAGTATGCCAAGTGAAGCAGACGCTCTCTTCTGTCCACTCCTACCTTCCTTGGCCTCTCCCTCTTTGATATATAAGAAGTGTCCCCAGAGACACAGCAAAGGGGAGTATCTGCGCATGAGGCTAGGAAGATAGACCAGAGCCAAATGGTGCTACATCTTGTCTTCCATGCTCACGAAGCCTGGACTCCATTCTAAAGGCAATGGTGAAGCCTTGGGCAATTTTAAGACATGAGCCGACTTGGGAAGCTAGCATACACAACAGCAGAAAGAAGTCAGCATCTGGAATCAAAAGGTCTCGTTTTCTCATTGCTTCCTATAGATTTTCTGCAAGAAGGAAGCAAGTTATTTACATATACTAGAGGCCTGGCACACAAATTTGTGCACCAGTGGTGTACCTTGGCCTGGCCTGTGGAATTGGGCTGAAACCGGCTCTCCAACATCCCCCGAGAGGTCCCAGATTGCGAGAGGGTGCAGGCCAGGCTGAGGGACCCCAACGGTGTACGATCAGGGCCAGGGAGGTACGCGGGAGGTTGGCCAGCTGGGGAGGGACCGCAGGAGGGCTCCAGGGCGAGTCCAGCCTGTCTCACTCAGTCCCAATCAGCCAGACCCCACAGTAGCAAGCTAACCTACTGGTTGGAGTGTCTGCCCCCTGGTGGTCAGTGCATGTCATAGCAAGCAGCTGAGCAGCCTTAGCATATCATTAGCTTTGATTGGTTGAACGGAATACCAGACACACTTAGCATATTAGGCTTTTATTATATAGAATGTGTATATTTTTGTGTGTGTGTGTGTGTGTGTGTGTGTGTATTTGGTTAAGTGGAAAAAGGAAGAAGGCAAATGGAAACGAAGATTTTCTCTCTCATACATTACAAGGGTTAATGGATAAACTGCCACAATCTCAAATATTTATCTTTATTAAGTACTTAAACTATTCCCAACACTGTCCTAGGGTTTAAGAAGCATACAAGTAGAGGACTTAGCCCCTGCTAATAAACTCACTAGGGATAAGTTAAAAATTTTAGGACCTGAACTAGGATACAAAGAGAGGGCAGGACTCAGCCACATGCAGAAGGAAAAAGACATTCTAGGCAGAGATGAGAGTGTAGCAGTGGGAAAGAGAGAAGGGCGTGGGGGGAGCTGGGACATTGTGACTTGTATATATGCCTCCACTCTGCTGCCACTTGCTGAACACAACAGGTTCTGCACAAACCTCCCTGCACATCCCTCCTGACTGCCTGTTGCCAGTTCAGACCTTTCACCTCCCAGCAAATCCACTTCAAACACTTCAACCCTCAAAAAGACATCCAATGTTGATCTGTCATTATGTTCTTGTGCAAACTCACTGTAATAACATAATTCATATGAGTCTAAAAATATTCTTACTGTCTTGAAAATATTCGGAAAGTCAACTAAGGTTTGTTTTTTAATGAAGAAGGCACTCCCAGTTGTTTATAGGCAATACTATCTTTTTAATCACAGTGAAGTAGTTTCTTACCTGCACAAATGTGTGAAGTAAGCTGAACCAGTGTCACTGTCCCCCTTTTGCAGATGAGGAAAATTATGAGTCCCAGACCAGCAACAGCAGCAGCACCACCATGTGGAAGCTTGTTAGAGATGCAAATTATCCACCCCACCCCAGACCTACTGAGTCAGAAAGTCCGGGAGAGAGGCCCAGCAACCTGTGTTCACAAGCCCTCCAGGTGATGCTAATGCTGGTCAGTGTGAGAACTGCGGATTGAAAGGCACAGAGCCAGCAGGCAGCAGAGCTGGAACTCCAATCAGGCTTTCTGACCTCAAATTTATTGCTCTTTCCATTCTACCCCACTGTCTGCCAAGAATGATGTCTCCCTAACTGGACTATAGTTCCTTAAAAACAAAGGTCTGATCAGGAGGAAAACAGCCCACACCAGGTAATTTCATAGAAGTAGTGTATCTGTATATATACAAACCAGAGGCCTGGTGCATGAATTCGTGCACCAGTGGGGTCCCTTGGCCTGGCCTGCAGGATCAGGCCGAAACCGGCTCTCCAACATCCCCCAAGGGGTCCCAGATTACAAGAGGGTGCAGGCCAGGCTGAGGGACCCCACCAGTGCACAATCAGGGCCAGGGAGGGGCATGGGACGTTGGCCAGCCAAGGAGGGACCACAGGAGGGCTCCAGGGTGTGTCCAGCCTGTCTCGTTCAGTCCCAATCAGCCAGACTCCAGCAGCAAGCTAACCTACTGGTTGACTGTCTGCCCCAATGATCAAGGCATGTCATAGCAACTGATTGACCAGTCTACTGTCTGCCCCCTGGTGGTCAGTGCATGTCATAGAGAGCAGTTGAGCGGCCTTAGCATATCATTAGCATATTACGCTTTGATTGGTTGAACAGATGACTGGACACCTAGCATATTAGGCTTTTATTATACAGCAGGTCCTCGGGTTACGTCGGAGAACCGTTCCTAGGCGTGAGGTAACAAGATTTTCGCCGGAACCCACCTACATAAGTACCTACGTCACTCACATGGAGCACATACACAGCAGTAATGAAGTGAAACAGTAAAAAAAATTTAAAAGATAACAATTCCTGACCTTTACTTGTGGTAAATAAATAATAAACATAAAGCACGTATGTACATATGTCAAAATGATGGAACTTTTTTTTAAATTAATAAATGGGAGATGGTGATGTAACCACAAAACAATGTAGGTCGAGTCCAACATAACCCAAGGACTGTCTGTACAGGACGTTTTATTTTCCAAATGCTTTCATAACCGCTATATCTCTTGATTCTTATGTCCTTCCTACTGAAGGCAAAACAATGGTTAACACTGCAATTTTTCAGATGATGAAACTCAGTAGAGCTCTTAGCTACCACTTATTAAAGGTTCAATACATGACAACCTCAGTTCTTGTGCTTTGCATGTATTAATTTATTTAATTAGCACAATAACACCAGGAGGTAAGTACTACTCTTATCTTCATTTTACAGGTGAGAGAACTGTACCGGAAAGGATGCAAAAACAGAACCCTCACCAGACAGTTTCATTAGAGGGGACTTAATACAGGAAACAAAATACAGGGGATAGAAAAACTAAAAAACCAAATGGAATGATGCTGTCAGCCAAAAATTAGCAACACACGGAGCCATTATCATCCCTAAGCCTGGAAGGAAATAGAATGTGCTGTTATTAGAGCCATGAGCAAAGGTTGCCCAGCAGGAGCTAGAACAGGGGTGGGCAAACTTTTTGACTCGAGGGCCACAATGGGTTCTTAAACTGGACCGGAGGGCCGGAACAAAAGCATGGATGGAGTATTTGTGTGAACTAATATAAATTCAAAGTAAACATCATTACATAAAAGGTTATGGTCTTTTTTTTTTTCAGTTTTATTCATTTCAAATGGGCCGGATCCGGCCCGCGGGCCGTAGTTTGCCCACGGCTGCTAGAACCAAGGATACAGCCAGAGACACTGCCTAAAACAGAGGGAGAAACAAACTGTGGTCTCCCTTTCTCCTGTCCTCTGATCTTCCCCAACGCCTTTGGCAGGAGAAGTTCAGGGAATGGATCTAAGGGGAAGTAGGAAAATTACCAGCATAGAAACTGTCACAGGTTGTGGGACTTATCTAAAGTGCGGTTAGTATGTGGCAGAGCTAGGATTCAGTTATCTGGTTCCATGTCTAGACTCTGAATCACTGTGCTATGGAACTGTCCAAGGGTAAGATACTGCAGAGCCCAGGTTCCCTAACTCATATTCAAAGATCCTCTTTGCCTCCTTACCATCACCACCACCACCATCCACAACCATCTCATCTCTTAATAAACTTAATACAAAAGGTGATTCATCAGTCAAGGTTATGCCAACGAGGTAGCCAAGGCCACTGTCCAGGTGTGGGAAACAGGAAGCCTTTCTGAAAAAAGTTCTAGAAACTCTAAAACTCTATCAGAATCCTATACAAAAACGTCTGAGCTTAAAGGAGTCTTTCTCAAACTTAGAGCGCATAAAGGGGAGCGCATTAAAATGCAGAGTATGAGGCCCACAACACCAGTCAGTCCACAGCAGAACCAGGAAACTGCACCTTAACAAGTAGCACAGGTGATTTTGATGAAGTTAGTAAGCAACCCTCTGGGAAACACTGCTTAAAAGTGCAAAGTGCAAAAAGACTAAAACATGGGACAGGTCTCAGAGATGAAGGATCAAGAATTAATGAATTCAGCCCTAGCTGGTTTGGCTCAGTGGCTAGAGCATCAGCCTGCTGACTGAAGGGTCCCAGGTTCGATTCCGGTCAAGGGTGCATATCTGGGTTGCGGGCTTGATCCCCAGTAGGGGGCATGCAGAAGGCAACCAATCAATGATTCCCTCTCATCATTGATGTTTCTCTCTTTTTCTCCCTCTCCCTTTCTCTCTGAAATCAATAAAAATATACTAAAAAAAAAAAATCTAAATGCACAGCATTAAAAAAAAAAAGAATTAATGAATTCAGAAATACATCTGCCTCATGTTCAAGAATATCATTCTTAAAAGAGCAGGAAGATTTCAGTGAACATAAATGTCTATCGACTCTAAGCCAGGATGCAGCCATCCCAGAGACGCATCTCACTAACCTTGGCTGCCAAGGGTAGAAGCAGCCGTGTGATAGGTCTCACAGTCTACACAAAACGTTCCTTGCTTCTCTGCCCCAAGCACCTCCAGCTTCCGGGTGAGGAGCTCCACGGTCTGCTGGACACTCTTGCCCTCAGCCACAGGCATCTGGGACACACTGGAAGGGAAGAATCAAATCGTCAATATCCATAGACACGGGCACTGGCTGAGCCACTCTGTCACCCACAGGACCACAGCTCATCAGGGCCACAGAGACCACCTACCGGGATCCTTTATTTTAAAGATGCATTTTTTTGATATTCATGAACGTATAGTTTTATTCTCTTTCTGTACATATTGGCAATGGTAAAGATTAAAGATGCATGTCCTATGAAATATGCAAAAACATGGAATTTACATAAATAATTTATACTTCAGAAAATTAAAGTTGAAAAATATTTTCCACACCATTAGCGTTCACAGTATTTAAAGTAAATCAAGCTTTCCCCCTTAGATTTCCAACTACACTGTCTCAGCAGAGGATAAATCTGACCAGGAGCTCAAGGATCAAGCCTGGTTTTGTTCAGATGCAGAGCTAGAGTCCTACAGTCCCTAAGAACACAGATCTCATGATTCTCTCACAAGAGCGCAGCGAACTTCCTATCACACCAGAATTCCCTAAGCATGGCATGTGTGCCAACATTCAAGAGAAGATTTTAGGTGGCACCCCGACTGAACACTTGACAACACTGTCATGTAATGCTTCCTTCACAATTATTTCAGTTCTGACGACATCAAGGAGATAGCCTTAATTCGGGGTATGTTGTTCCCAACTCTGACACTCTGACTGTGTGCTGTCCAGTACAGTAGCCACAAGCCACATGTGGCCATTGACATTTAAACAAGAATGTAATCCAAGCAATGAAACAAAAAAATGTTATTTCCAAGACTTCCTTCCATGGTGAGTAAAACCAGCTTCCCCTTTAGAGTGGTAGTTAACAGTCACCAAGCCCCAACTATGTGTCAGACCGTGTCCAAAAGCCTTGAGATAAATAAACTCTTTGAATCCTCACAATAGCCCTAGCTATGCTATTATCTATCTCCTTATTACAAATGAGGAAACTGAAATACAGAGGGGTTGACTGACTTGCACAAGGTCACACAGCTTGGTGTGGTGTAGCCAAGATTCAAAATCAGGCAAACTGGCTCTACATCTGTGCCCTTAACTACTACAGTACACTACTTCCCTAGCGATATAGTTAAAATACTTTCAAGAAATAGATTTAAAAGAAAAGATTAACAAATACTACTACACTGGAAGGGAGACAATCAAATCGTCAGTATCCAGAGACATGGGCACTAATTATATAAAAATCAGAAAAGACAGCCATTTGTGACTGAATTTGGGGAGACACTGCATTACTTGATAATCAGCCAAATGAAGCTATAAGGTAGAGTCCTCCTCATTGCTAAAAATTGTTACTACTCTCCATCAAAAAAAGCACTAATAAGGAATGATGATGATGTGCCTTATGTTGAAACAGAAGCACATTCCTAAAATGCTGCTGCTGAGGTGAGAAGTGCGAGGAGTCTGAGAACGTTGATAAGGGTCCTAACAGAGAGCCCTTCCCCTCGGCCTGCCTCCTCTACTGAAAGAACAGGGACTTCCAGGGCTCCAAGCCTCTGAGCCGCAAACTTGTCATGGCCATCGCCCACACATCTCCCTTACCCTAGAACAGTGGTCAGCAAACCGCGGCTCTCGAGCCACATGTGGCTCTTTGGCACCTTGAGTGTGGCTCTTCCACAAAATACCATGTGCGGGCATGCACATACGGTGCAAAGTTGACTTAACACTCTAAAGTTTATTAAGTTAATTTTAGGGAACGTTGTGGAGTGAAAGAAGATGTAGTGTCGAGGATTGAGAAAGGTATGTTGAGATGGTTTGGACATATAGAGAGGA